GATTGTTGTACACTTTGTACATAATTTATTCGACCAATATAAGCACCAACTTCTTCTGGTGAATTCATTGAGTGTTTTTCATTCATAAATGGAAATACAATATTATAATCAAAGATCAATTCCTCACTAGTTTTTACAAAGGTCACTGTGTCTTTCTCAGTAAATGTTTGACCAACCAACAAATCATATTCTTGTACATCATCATTAACAACATACAATTCTATCTCCTCTGATACTTAAACAATCTTTAACGTCGTCGCCTTGGTCAATCCGCACACAAGATCGGCCTTGATGTTGCCATAAACCATCAACTTACGGTCAATCGGTTGTATTTCCAATTGATGAAGACTTGCTACACTTAATTTTATGATGCATATATCGCATCCAGTGTCAATCAATCCAGTTGCTGGTGTACTGTGATTATTAATTGAAATTGATTTAATATATTTAGTTTTACTTGGTTGAGTATTAATAAAACTAACTGTGGGTTGTTCTGTTTTAACTTGACAGTATTTTTTGGTATGGCCCTCCTTACCACAATTGGTACAGACCATGGGTCTCCTAGGGTTGGGGCAGTCTCGTCCAATATGTCCATAATTTTAACAGTTATAGCACCGGATATTTCGCGAACGAGTAGTTGCATTCCCCATCTGATTTTCTAGTTTCTGTGGTGACAATTCGTTTGGTTGCCTAACAGTAATATTATTGAGCGGAGTGGTTTTGTGGAAACGATTATTTCTTTCTTTAAACACCTCTTCAAATTCACGTATGTTTCTGATTAAGTCTACTTCTTGTATATGTGGATTGCTTAATAAAATATTACAAAGTTCCCTTGATAACAATCCTACACAGAGCATTTTTTTGGTTTCTAACGCTGATAATCCCAAACTACGACATAGTCTTAGTTTATCATGAAAATATACGTGTACCGACTCACCCTTTTCTTGCACTCGACTGTCCATGCGTCTCCACTTTTCCGTCAAACTCAATTCAGACATAAACATGGCCTTAAATAAGGTTTCAAAAGTCGACCATTGGTTTATTTCAGTCTGTCTTAATATAAACCAGTTTTTTGCCGCTCCTTCTAAATTTGATCGAACCGCTTCTAATTTGTACTCATCCGGCCAATTGTGCAAATGTGCGATTGTATTAATTGCTTTGAGCCATTCTTCAGCCACCGCACAATCGCTACTTTCCCTATTGAAACGTCCGATGTTCTGTTTTAAATCTGGAACCATATTGAACTGTATGCCGGTTCCAAGTCGATCTAATACTTTTTCCAAACTTTTGCCTCGTTGCGCATTTTGTTCAATTATCATCTGCATTAGCTCATGAACTCCCGTTTGAGTTAATCCTTTATCCTCGATAGGCATTGTGCATTAATAAATACCAAATACAATTAATGTCGGCTTAACTTCATGATAACGGCCTGAACGTATATTATGTTTATCTGATAAGATACTGATAACTCGCACGTTTACCGTTACCGCGTTAATGTACCGTGGCGTGACCACAACTCCACCGTAGTACAACAGTTCTGAGCGACACTAGATCTACTAACTTTTCTAACATGTGGATACGAAATGATCGTACATTCGTATTTGATAACGATCCCACTTCTGATATTAAATACAAAATATATTTATTCAGTAATTGAATAACAAAAGTAACACAAAAAAAAACATTTCACCAAATGCATAGACTAATTTAATGAAACTAATTTTAATTACACACACTACTACAACCGCACTAAACGGAGCGCTGGCCACCTACTGACTAACTGGTGTGTTCACCTGGCAGTGAACAGCCCTTCTAATGTCTAATTTTATGATAACATAATTAGTAGTTCATTGATTTTAAAATATAATATANCAACATCAACTCTTATTTCTTTAATTATATCATGATTAGTAGTTCTTTGATTTTAAAATATAATATTTGAATATATACTAATTATAATTATTAAATTTAGTATGAAATTGATATTTAATATTGTAATTTAAACGGAGAAATTATAAAAATAATAAAGAAGTTATATTTTGCTTTACTTTTACGTGTATAAAAATTTAAAGGGCTTGATACAATAATTTTCAATAAAAACTGTTTGTTACTATAAATAAATGCACTGGAATACGAGGAACTTTCATCAGAAGCAAAAATATACTTTTCTAAATCAACTTTTCGCGTTGTTTTCAAATCTACAATTAGACTTTTTCTTTTAATGCGTAATCCAAAAGAAGTTGGTCGCACGGTTTGTTGTCGCGTCGTTTAGCTAAGCTGACGAACACCACACAAAACGGAAGAGTTTATTTCCACTTTCCAATTA